CCTGGGATGCTCTGCCTTCTGTGTCTTTGGCAGTCCCTTGTTGGGGTGTTCTGTGTGGGGTGTGGGTGCTGTGTTTCAGGCGGAGTACCTGCTGCTGGTGGGAGCTTGTAGGATAGAGAACTGACCCGCCAGCAGGATGCGTTCCTGTTAGGTCTTCAGGCTTTTCCTGAGCGAAAAGGCTTCTCCTTTTGCCTAGTGCAGAGTTGGTGAGGAGGGTTTCCAGGGCTGATTGGATGTGACCTCCTGTGGCTCCCATGTTCTTACCGCTTGGACTAACAGGGAGGCTGAGGCCACACTGCCTACCTGGGGAGGCTATCAGGCTGGGGGAGATGTGACCCAGCCCCAGACTCAGCCTCTGAGAAGGGAGGGTAGACTGATGGTCTGCACCCGTGAGGGGAGCTTGCAGACCCGCGGGCTCCGTTGAGTCTCTCCATCTGCGGGCTGGAGAGCCCTCCCCCATCCCTGGGGAACACAGGATCCTCAAGGAGGCCGAAGCTAGGGCTGACGTTCTGGCTCTCGGAAGCAAGAATGTTGCAGGCCCTGACCCCTTGCCGCCACCCCCTCTCCCCCAGATGGAAACTGGATTGTGAATCCTCCAGAATAGGTCCGGCGGGGGGGGTGCTGGGGAAGGTCTGAGGGGACACATTGGCCAGCCCATCCTGGGGTCCCTTCTGTAGTCACCTCCTTCATTTTCCCTGCAAGCAGCCAAGCCGGGAAATGACGCATACCTCCCTTGGGGCCCCGTTCCTCACCACTGCAAACCCTGGGATTAATTTAATTACACGCTCATCTCCGAGAGGCTGGGGCTCAGAGGCGCCCAGCGGGATCACGAGTTGCCCAGGGCTGCTGGGAAGGATCATCCTCCCAGGGAGCCAAGCCCTCCAGGGCCTCCCACCCCTGCCCGAGAAGGCCCATCTTGCAGCCACCCTGCCCTGCCGCAGGACACCTGCTCTGACCCACAGGCGACATGATGTCTGGCTCCTGGGCTCCTGGCGGGCGCAGAGCCTGGTCTGGGGAGTTGAATGTAGCAGAAGAAGAGGAGGCTTCTCTGGGACATGCGGGGGGCAGCCTCAAATCCTCTTCAGATCCACTGGAATGGGCAGACTCAGGCTGGCCCCAGGCCTCGGGAAAGGCCCCCGCACCAGAGCTGGGAGAACTCTGATGGGCCACGCTTCTGCTTCCGTGGTGTCAGTGGGTGGCTCGGCACTGTGCCAGTGCAATAATTTAATCCTTTCTCCTTTTTTTTTTTTTTAAATAAACGAAAGATTTTTTTTCCCTATTTTGGAAGTAGATTATTTGAAAATTAGCAAGAAGGGGTGTGAATGAATAAAAACTCCCTTGTTCTCTCATGTGAACAGCGCCACCATCAACATTTCCACGTGCCTCCTTCTGGAATTCACTTCAACACAGATATTTTTAAACGTTGAGAGCAGTTCTACTTCTCATTTTGTGTCCAGTGCTTTCCAGTGGCGTGTGAAGGTTTTTCCTTATTGTTGAGAAGAGAAACCCTTCCTAAACATCCTTTGAATGACAGGGTATACCCCTCTGCTTCTCCTGGACAAATAGTTATTTCCATTTCTGGCCGCCGCTGCTACACCATCTTTATAATTAGAATTCATTCTTTAGGATAGATTCCATTGGAAGTACTGGGTGATTTAAAATATTTCAAGGCCTCCTCTCTTGTTTGGAGATTAGAAAGAAAAGTCCACCGAAGCCTGGTGGTGTGAAGTGGACTTTGTTCTCTGTAGCTGCTTGGAGTTTGGGGCAAACGGAAACTGGCGGGTTAAGCGAGGACAGCACCTTGGCCGGTGTCCACGTGTGGCCTCTGAGGGAGGACAGCCGGCCCGTGGGCCCTGAGGTCTGGTCCTGACGGCAGTGGGTGGGCAGGTGGGCTGCTGTTGGGTCATTTGTCGCCCATAGCATTGCCTCTGGCCCTGGCCCTGGCCCCACTCTGTTCTCCTCTCTGCCGTCCTAGGGAGTGTGGCAGACCCCGCTGGGGCCGAGGACGCTGAGGCTGGCGGGCACATCTGCTGACTCCATCCTGCTCCACGACTCTGACTGCAGTCTGACCAAGAAAGGAAACGCCGGGAGCTCCCGGTTGACCCCAGAGAAATTGGCAGAGGGAGCTAGAACTGTCCCCATACCGGGAAACTGGGTGTGGGGGCAGGGGCCCCCCTTCCTCTGACAGTGAGCGAGCTGATGGCCTGGCTGTGCATAGGTGACAGGTCCTCTCCTGAGTTCGGGGCTGTGCCTGGCAGCGCGGGCCCACGGTGGGGGCTGCGGTGAGTGGCGGTGGGGGTGGCTTGTCGTGGAGCCGAGGACTGGGCAGTCGAGCGTCCCGGAGAGAGAGGCTTGCACAGGAACCATGTCTTCTTTCTGGGACCCGTGCCAGCTTCTTTCAACCGCATGGCGCTGTCAGCTCTGCTCAGAGCAACCAGGCACTTGGGGTCCTGAGCACTGACCCGCAGGGGGAGCGGGATGGTGGGGAGAGGGTCTGGCGGGGCCCAGCTCACCCACCAGCAGGTGGGAGACACTGGTCCTCTTGGCCTCCTCATCTGGAAAGTGGGGCGGATGCCTACTGGACCCTCCCCAGGTGGGTGGCGGGTCTCCCCCGCCCTCCACTGACCCCACCCAGGGTCAGACCACGCAGGGGTCCGCTAGTTATTTGGGTCTCCTCGTCTTAACGTGTGAGGATGAGAGAGCTGGAAGGATCTTTGTAGTTTTTGCCCACTGTTTCCCAGTCGGTGTTCCGGGGAACCCTTCCTGCTGACAGCATGAGGACCCAGAGAGGTGGGGAACCCAGGCTGCACCCCAGCTCCGTCCCAATGCCCAGAGGGGCCTGGCACACCCTGAGCCATCAGTCCTGTTGGCATGGGAGTGATGTGGGAAGGGATGTAGGGAGTGTCTGTCAGTCCCGGCTGGTTGAGCATGAACTGAGGCAGGAGGGCAGGGGGCAGGCCCAGGGCACGGGCTCTAGTGACCACCAGCTGAAGAAGGGTGTGAGGAAGGCCTTTGTACAGCTGCGGCCGCCGGGCTGGCCAGGGTCCCCTGCCTGGGCAGGTGGGATCTGCCCAGCGCCGGGCACGCACGCGGGGTCCAAGTGGGGAGGCCCTTGGGGTCACCCTCCTGGGGTCCAGCCCCCCTGTCGCTGCTGCCCTGAGTTGTGCCGCGAACAAGCCCCTTCACGTCTCAGAACCTTGATTTCCCGGCTGTCAAAGGGAGCTCTGCAGAGCTGGGGGCTCGGTGAGGTGGCGTGGGGAGCAGCAGGAGCCCCCCCACAGCTGCCTGGTAGTTACCAGTGCCATCCCCAAGGCTGAGGGCGGCAGGTCTGGTGGGGAGTGGCCCTTCTCCCTCTCCAGAAGGCCGGCATTCCTGAGAGCTGACTGCTGCTGTCTCGGGCAGGAGGAGCTGGTTGTGTAATTCCCCAACAGCTAGTGGGTGGGCCTGGCCGCCCCCCATTCCCGTCACGGGCTGGGCTGATGCTCCTGGGCCTGGTCCAGGGCTGGGTGGGCGGAGCTCTGAGGGTCCTTCCCCTGTGCTTGGAGAACAAAGCACCCCACGGCGGGCAGCTCAGGGGGCAGAGGGGCACCTGTGTGTGAAAGCTGGGGTAGCCTCAGAGAATGGCCTTGCCAATGGGCAGGCCCAGGCCGAGCCCCAGGGGAGGGAGGGCAGGGCATTCTGGGGAGGGGGCCTCCCGCTGAGCACCAGTGGGGGAGGGGCACCACATCCGTGTCCCCAGGGGGCCGGGCTCATGGGCTATGCCAGCTGTGTGCTGGGGTGGGCAGATCTTCATTTTCCCACCGGTGCATGATAGTCCAGCTTGTTCTCTGACAGCACCCAATCCCCTTTAGCCCGCCCCGGTGTGTTAAAAGTCCTGTGGGGTCCGTCTCCCAAGGCTGCAGTTTCGAGAGGTGGCTTTGGTCGGAGGTGTGGTGACTTCTGAGCTAAAAGGCTGGTGGTGTAACCAGTGGAGACTCTGTCCTGTCGGGGGCAGGTGGGTGCAGTAGGGGGAGCAGTGACTGGCCCAGTGGATGGCATGTAGGCCGGTGTCTGGGCCATGTGAACCCTGGCGAGGTGCTCATGTGGACGAGAGGCGCTAGCCTGTCCCTTACTGGGTGGCTGCAGACCAGGCAGGGAGGTGCCCCGTGCATCCAGTTGGGACCTGACTGCCCACCTGCACGACTGCACCTGCCAAGATGGTTTGGTCCCCTTACCTTCCCTGCCCTGTGGTCCACATCGTCTCCTGGCCCCTCTGCTCTGTTGCCCTTGGCTCCCACCTCGGTAGTCTCCCTCATCCCAGCCTGGCCTGCAGTGACTTAGTCCTTGCTTTTCCCCTCTGCTGGCCCAGCTGATCTCTAGCCTGCTGGGGAGGCAGGACCAGGGCTCTGGGAGTCCGGGTGGTGGAATTTTGCCTGCCTTTCTGATGTGATTGTAAAACAGGTCAGTGTGGTGAGGGGGGGTGGATTTCAGAAACCCTGCTGCATTCCGAAACTGGGGGTGCATGGCTGGGGAGTGTGTCACTGGCTTGGCCCAGTACCCAGCTCCCGGCTGCTCTCGTCAGTAGAGTCCTTCCAGAATGATGGTGTCTCACCTGCATTATGTACCCCCTCCCCCCACCCCACCAGCTGTGAATTGTTTTAGAAGTTCCTGTGTGTTAGGCGGAGGGGGGGGGGAGAGCAGAGGAACCCTGGATGCTGACTCGGTATGCTCAGGAGACTCAGTTTCCCTGTTGTGCTGGGGAAGGGCTCCCTGGACCCCATTCCCTGCTGTGTGCTGCCCCCTGGCTGTGAGGGTCCTGTCGGGGGGATGTTTGGGAGCACTTTTTGGATGCGAAGTATGACAGAGGCTGAGGGAATAGGCACAGGACAGGTGGTAAGGGAACCCCTCTCCTTTCTGCAGGTTCTGGAAACCCCGGCCCAGAGGCTTCAGTCAGGGTGGGGGTCTCTCCCTGGAAACCGAGTCAGCCATGATTAACGTGCTCCCCACTTGTGTCGTTACAGATCCCTCGTCCACCTACATCAGGCAGCTGGAGACCAAGGTGAGGCTGCTGGAGGGTGACAAGGCCCTCACGCAGGTAGGCTAGCTGGGGGGAGACCGCGGGGGGGCAGTGCCTACTGCACTCTGGGGCCGGCGTGAGCCCTGCCCCTGACCCCCTGAACCCCCGCCCACCTGGGTCCCAGCTTACCTGGGGCTCCCTTCCCCCCTCACTCCCATAGCCGCCCACCTGCCCCACTGCCATCCGAGGCAGCCCCTGGAACTTTGGGGTCATGGACCTAATCCTCACTCCATGGCCTTTGGGGTGTCCCCTGGTGGTCTGTGAGCTCCTCGGGCCAGTCCGTGGTGTGGAATGCACAGTTGCTGAAGAAGGGGTTGCTTTGGCCCTCAGGCAGGCAGATCGAGGCCGGGGCGGGGGCTGGCACACCCCCACTCTCACCCACACGGAGACCTCCCCGCTCCTGCCACGCTGATCCTCTCCCGTCTGGGGCACACCCTCCCCCCTCCTGGGCCTGGCCGGTGCCCACAGACAGATGAGGCTCTGTCTCATCCCCAGCACGTCCCCAGCAGAGGGATGGCGGGTTAGAGGCTGGAGGATGAGGGCAGTGCAGGGGGGCGGCCGGGCAGGGTGACAGCCAGAGCAGGGGAAGACAGGCGGCTCTGCTCCTGCTGAGTGCGGCTGGAGCACAGAGGGGTCGTAACTGTCAGGACGAGGGCCTTCTCTACTGCGGGTGGGGTGGGGATGGGAGGCTGTGGTCAGCCCTGCACGGGGTCCTGGGGGCCTGCTGGCTTGGCCAACCCCTCCAGCCTCTCTCCCTCGTACCTATCCTGGGCTTGATCTCCCCTGCCGCCCCCCCCCCCCCCAAGTGGCAGCCGGAATGCCCAGAGCGTTTCTCTGGGAACCAACCCCAGGGAGGGCTCAGCTGCCTGGCCCCGTTGCTAGGCGACCAGCAGGCTTGGCGCCACTGTCCTGCTCGGAAGCCCGCAGCACGCTCTCTGCCCCTGGGCGGCTGCTGGGAGGCTCAGGGCCCAGGCACGGAGTCCAGGCCCCCCCACCCCCCGCCGCTGCGCCTCGCCCCTGCGTGGGCTGTGTGGGCAGTTCCTATGTGGGCCGAGTACATGGTTCACCCCCGACTCCTCCACACCCCCAAGGCCACCGCACCCATGTTCAGGTGTGGAGCCAGGCATCGAATTGCAAGGCTGGTTTGGTAACTTTAGATGGTTTCAGGTCCTGTGTGGCAGAAGGGCTTGGCCACGAGGCATGCTGGCTCCTTTGGCTCCTCGGGGCTGGGGGGAGGCAGGGAGGGGCTGGGGTCTCATCTGGCTGGGGGCTGGGGCACCTTACATTCGATGTGGGCCTGGCGTGGGCTGATGAGGGTGTGTGGGCTGGGCTGCAGGAGCTGAGGCCTAAGTGATGCCAGGAGGAGTGGGGGTGGTGGGGGCCAGCATTAAGGCTTGGGGCCTTTGCTTTGGAGCAGGTGCCTGTCCTGCTTGCTGCAGCCACTGGACAGCAGAATGAAGGCCAGGACCACGATCTGGACCTGAAGCCTTGGGTCAGTGGCCTCGTGAGTCTGTCCCCGTCTGACTGTTCTTTGTTTCATGGTTCCCTTGGAGAAGCAGGTTGAGCGCCCAAAGCCCCGAATTCAGGATGCTGTTTGCCATGTTGTTCTGTGGTCCAACTGGACGTTGCTTGTGGCCCCTTTTCCACAAAGACGGGCATGGGCCCAGCCCCGTGGCCCCTGCTGTCCCGGGTCACATTGTCCCATTGGGAAAATAGACCCCAATTCCCTGTGGTGGACCTGGCCGTGGACTTGGGGGAAATGTGCACACCATGGAGGGGTGGCCCTTCTCTTCCTTCCTCCCTGGGGGCACCCCTGGTGTCACAAGGGAGGCCCCCCTAGCTGTGCCCACTGGGCCCATGTCCGCACGTACGGAGGGGGAAGTTGTCAGGGGCCCTGTGTCTGGGCGTCAGGGCATGGCAGCTATCTGCCCGCCCTCCCCCCCAAAGCCTGCTCAGACCTGCTCCCAGGGGTCAGACCTGGGGCCATGGCCCGGGGGCAGCAGCAGTAGGGTTCTGGCCTCCATGCCTGGGCCGGGCCTGCTGGGCAAAGATGTCCATTAGACGGAGGGATGCAGGCCGTTGCCGGGATCCAGGCTTGCTGGCTGCAGGCGGTTAGACTGGGATTTAGGGACAAGAAGCTTTTTTCTGGCTTATGGCCAGTAGCGGGCAAGTACTGGGAGCTGAGCATCCGGTACAAAGGGCTCCAAGCGTCTTATTTCTCTGGTAGAACTTTTCTTTCTCCCCGAAGCCTCGCGAAGCCAAGCTGCTGTGAGGGTAGCTGTGTGGGCTCGTGTGGGTCCTGGGGGGTGGGGCACCCGGGACCCTTCCCTGGTCTCTTCTTCAGCGGGACTCTGCCCAGGGTCTCCCAGTGAGCAGGTGTTAGGTCCACACCCAGCGTCCCAGGAAGGGGGCAGCCCCGTGGTGCTGGGGCCTTGGCCCCCCGCAGTGCACTGTGCGCCTTGTCCCCTTCTGCAGCGAAAGAGTTGGCCCCCAACCTACGGTCTGCAAGAGCGCCCGGGAGCTGTCGGCGTTGGCGGGATGTCTCCAGGGTCCTGGATGGGGCTCCTGCTGTCCCTGCCACCTGCTGTCACCAGAGCTTGGCCTTGAGGGTGGGTCGGTGGTGCTGGCTGCGGAGCGGGGCGCCACTGGTGTGAGCCAAGCAGGAGAGATGAGAGAGAGAGAGAGACAGAGAGGGGCCCCCTGGCCTGCTCTCGGCTGCCTGGTGGCAACTCACACCTCACTTGCTTCTGGATTCCTGGGGCAGCTCAGATGGCACCACTCTGTTTGCTCGCCTGGAAAATGGGCACTCACACACTTCGTGTGTAATTGATGGCTTTAGGGGTGCAGGGGTGACCAGGCCCAGGCCTGAGCATCTCCTTGTCCCAGCTAGCAGGACTCGTGTGCATAGGGGGCTGCCGCAGGCCCACGATGACAGTCCTGGCCTCATTCTAGGGGAGTCCAGGGAAGAAAGGGTTTACTTTCTCTTCTTCCTCAGGAGGAAGGCATGGCCTCCTACCAAGAGCCTCCCCATCCACCCCCAGGGGGGCTCGGCACTTAGTCTGGGCTCTCAGCCCTGTGAGCTGCTAGTTGTCATGATCCTCCCTGGAGGAGCTCGGCCCCCACGTCTGTTGGACTGTCAGGTACTCGGGTTGGGTTGCTGGCTCTCTGTGGTCACATCTGCCTCTCCAGCGCTTAGCACAGCTGGACTGGGTGGATACATCTTGGGGAGCCCCTGGCTGCCCCCTACCCAGAGTCCAAGGCCGGGAGGGGAGGCTGGCTCTTGCCCAGAATAAGGAAGTTCTGCTTCACTAAGGTAGTGAGCGTGCCATCTTTGGAGGTAATCAAGGGATGGATGACCACGTTTGGGAATCCTGGAGAGAGAGAGAGTCCTGCCAGGGGTGGGATTCTGGCCTGGACCTCATGGGCCTGGCTTGTCGGACTTGATGATTCTGGCACTTAAGTCTTGCCACTGAAATCAGATTGCACAGAAACCTCCAGCTCTACAGAGGGTGGAGAGCACCTGCCTTTTGGCGAGAAGCGGGAGAGAGCAGGATGTGTCTTTGAACCACCTTCAGGGCACGTGGCTGCGGGGTTTGGGCGGGAGAGCGGCGAACCTCTGCGGCCCCCATTTCCCACTGCCCCCGCCCCTCCCCTCATGGCCTCTGTTTAACTCCAGAATAGCTTTAATTAAAAATGTGCCAGCGTGTTCACAGAAGTAAATTATTATATTGCAGTTCGTATTTTCTTTCTCACGTTGGCTTTAAAATTTCGTCAACACAGCTGCTTCCTCCGTGATGATTCACTTCGAGCCCCCCCCCACACGTTATTATTTTTCCTGGGGATTCTGTGCCCGGCCGGGCTGGGGTGGGGGCGGCTGGCATTGACGCTGGGGCCTGGCTCCTTTGGTGTCCGCAGTCCCCTCCCCTGCTGGGCTGAGAAATGAAGCCTCCGTGTTCGCCCAGGAGCCGGCTTTTCAAAAGAGCAAGAAGTGCTTGAGCGGATCTCCCGTGGGGCAAGTGGGCCGCGTGGAGGGGAGTGGAGGTGGCCGAGCAGGCCCGCCCCCCTCCTTCTCACCCCTGTGCCACGCCGCGCAGGGTCGCTCGAACACTCGGGTTGCAAGTGACCCCAGGATTGACACCAAGGGTTGCTGTAACAAAGCATACACTGGGTGGCTTCAGCGACGGAAGTGTATTTTCTCATGGTTCCGGGGGCCATGGGGTCAACAAATGAACCTGGGGGGGGGGCACAGTCCATCCTGCAGCAGGGGTGTGGTGGGCCTACTTGTATAAGGAAGTGGGTTTGGGCCCTGGAGGAACCTGAGTTCCAACGACCCATGCGCCAGCACTTGCCTGCACTATGGCTTTAGGCAAAATGCCTTCTGTCCTGGTGCCTCGGTTTCCTGACGTGGAAGATGGGGGTGATGGTGATGGCCCAGTGCAGCGTGTGCCATGCTGCCTGTAACCTGGGGGGTGCCCGGTGCGGGGGCCTGCCTGTCTCTCCCTTCCCTGGTCTCGGGGACCTGGGATGTTCGAGGCCTGGCCCGTCTCTGAATGAACGGTTCCCCCGTGGCCCTCGTCTGCGTTTTGAGCCATACAGGCTGGGGGACAGGGGAGCAGTCTGCCACCATCTCAGCCCATGCTGGACCTCCGTCCTGTTGTCTGAGTGCCTGAGGAGGATGTGTCATCCCGAGTGGCTGGTTCCCTTGCCCAAGCCCTCCAGAGAAGCTGGCCTCCAGGATTTTTGCGGTGGTGTCTTCTGTGACTTGTTGCCGGTTGTCTGGCTCTGAGCCGTCCCTGCTCGGCCTGGCTGGTGTCTAGGTTTGGGGGTCACATCCTGCTCCCTCTGTTGTGAGTGGGTGGTCTCTGCGTCTCTGGAGGGCTTTAATTACTTCGTTAGCAGAACCTTAGAGCCGGTCCAGGCTCTCCCTCGGCCAGGGAGGAAACCTCTTCTTTCCAGCATCTGAGCACATGGTCTGGCTAGCAACGTGGGCAGACAGAGACTAGGAATTCCACCTCTGTCCCCTCTGTGCCCGAGGCTTAATCACTGTCCACTGTGAGCCACATGCTGGGTGGCCGTCAATGCCAAGCCCAGGACCCCAGAGCCACAGGGCCTGGTTCAGATCGCCCGAGTGCCGCCTTGCCGGTGGGGCGGCGTTGGGCCAGGGGCTTAACTGCTCCATGCCTCAGTTTTCTCATCTGTCAAATGGGACACCAGTGGTGCCCGCCCCAGGCTTAAAGGGCTGATCCCGCAAAGCACCAGGGTCCCGGGCCGGCCAGCGGTGAGAGTCGTGGGCCGTCCAGCAGGTGGGTGCCCTTCTTGACCCCAATTTACGTGTAAGCAACAGAGCCTGGAAAGTTGAGGAGTTGCTCAGACTCACCCAGCCCGGGTGGCATTTGGATTTGGGGAGTCTGTGCCCCCACTAACCCCCCTCACCTCCTCCTGCGGGGTCCTGTGGCCTGTCTCTTGCTCACCTTATTGGAACCAGTACTGGGTTGCCGAGGGGACCCGTGAGGGTCGACGGTCACTGTGGCGGATGAGACCTGGGCCGTGTGCTGTCCCATCAGCTGCAGGCCACCGGTCCCGGGCAGTACGCACACCCCCACGTTTGGAACCTGGGATTTAGGGCCGAAAATCACGTGGGGCGTGGGGATGCGGTGCCATCTCCCCTGAGGAGAAGTCCTGTGAGCCATGCCCCAGCCACACGTGGTACGTCCGCGGCCTACTCTGAGCACTAATTAGGAAGAAACCTCTGGGCCCCCAGCCATGCAGCAGCCGCGTTCTTCGTAATGGCCTGCAAATGAGTTCTCTGAAAACTAAAGTGGCAACGAGAGAAAGCCGGTCTGGTTGGTAGGCAGTGGCAGGGTGCCCTTGTGAGCGGCCCCGCAGCGCCCCTTCCCTTCCTGTGCCAGCTGGCGCACCGGGACCTTGGGGCGCCTCTGGGCCAGTGCAGCGGGCCGGCCTGTCGGGGTTGCAGGTCCCCGTGTGAGCCCCGGGAGGGCTGTGAGCGAACCGGGGGGCCGGCCCGGTCAGTCCTTGTAGACGGGGGGTGGTTTCTAAAAACATGGGGGCTCTCTGGAGGTTCCCACCCCGGCCCCGCCGAGGTCCCGGGTATCCAGGGAAGGGGTTGGGGTGGGGGTTGTGGCTGGCGTTTGCTGGGTGACACTGCTCCTCTTCCCTTCCAGTTGGCCCGTCCCTACGGCCGCCCGAGAAGCTGGCTTCAGGTAGAGCCGCCTGGCGGGACGCGTGTGCAGTGGTGTTTGGGGTGGGGGCTGCTTCGAGTGCTGTGTGCTGCTGTGTCTGCTGTGGGTCCCCTCCCATCCCTTCCTGGGAGCTGACCACCACCAGGGGGCCCTGGCTCTGCCCTCTCCGAGCGTGCAGTCGTGTACAGCTTCGCCACATGACAACAGCAGCGGAGCCAGGAGCCCGCGGCCTCCCGCGGCCCTTCTCACCCAGCTCTCCCCGCCTGAGTCCGGTGGTCCGGGTGGTCTCCGGACACCCCTCCGTCACCGCTCACCCCAGAGTCCCCACAACAGTCCCCGCGTCACCTGTCAGACCCTGCCTCCCTGTCGGGTGCACTCAGGAGGTGCTTCTGCATGACACGGTCCCGCGGGGACCCAAGCCCTTTGGGAGCAAGAGAGAGGGGTGAGACTAGCTGCCCGGAGTGAGTCCGCCCACAGCTGCCGCCCAGACAAGGAGCCCCAAGTGGCAGGTGGGGGAGGTGGGCGGGGTCCTCCCTCCCTGTCCTGCTGTGGCCCTTTTCTGCTCCAGCACCCCTCTGACGGTGCTCCCCAGGGGTCCCCTGCCACGCGATGGCAGGCGAGCTCGCCGCAGGACCGCGGGGGCCCGGAGAGCCTGGGGTCACCTGAGTGCACGCCAGCTTCGAGCCGGGTGTCGGTGCAGTGACAGCCCTGGACGGGGTCCTTAGTGGACTTGGGGGCCCTGCCGACTCCTGGGGCTCGCCCTCCCGGTCGGAAGGGGCACGTCTTTGTCTGTACCCAACGTTTCTTTTACTTTTAGGGATTGTGGGAGTCCCGCCCACTCTGCGTGGCAGATCCTTTCTCCCTGTGTCCTAAGGGACCCACGTTTGGGATTGCACCCCCTGCAGGTGCAGGCCCAGCCACCCCAGAAGGCCCCTTCAGCTCCACTTCTCCTCCGTGATAAAACCTAGGGATTTCATTCTTCAGGTCATCAGCAGGCGAATCCCAGAATTTTTAATTTGGTTTTAAGTGCAATTATGGTCCCTCATTTTGATGCATCATTAGTCACATCGCCCCTAATGAGAGATTGTACGTTTTTCCTGCCAGCTTTGTGCGTCGCTAATAAAGTTCTGTGGACGTGCAAATATTTATAGATGATCGCTGAAGGCAGGGGTGGGAATTGCACGCACTCATTTAAACCCGCCCCCTGCCCCCTTGTACACACAAGGAAATTATCTGGCGGGGGATGGGGGGGAGGGAGGGAGGAAGCAACATAAACCTGTGTTTTCAGTAACAACACATGGGTTGCTTCTGAACCCATTTGGTCCCGGGCCAGAAGAGCTGTGGAGGAGGTGAGACTTAGCTCAGAGGAGGATCTAGACGGTGTGGGCAAGGACAGGGCAGCGTCCAGGTGTCCTGGTCCCAGGGGCTGGCCGGAGAGGGCGGGGCAGCGGCTCAGATCCTTGGCCGTGTGGTCAAATGGCAGTGTGTGTGAGCTGGGCTGAGCCTTACCCCTGGTCCCTTTCGCCAGCCTGGCAAGGCTGGTGGGGGATGCTCCCGCAGAATGGGGTTGGAGGGCCCGGCGAGGGCCTGGTGGCACCGGCTGCAGATGCTCGGTGTCATTGGGTTTAGAACGCACTCTCCGTTCGAGAAGAGTTTGTAAGTGTCCAGACGCCTGGCCAGGAAGATAATTGCCTTGGAGTGAAGCTGGGTTGACGCCCCCGCCCACGGTGGGCGAGTCAGGGAGGCACAGGTGCCCTGATGGGCGGAGGGGTACCCCCCCAAGGTGGGGAGTGAGGGTTGGCACTGTGGCCTCTTGTGTTTTTGGTGCCTGGTGACAGGGGGGCTCCACTAGATCGGGCCTCTGCTGGGCCAGGGAGGACTACCGTGGCTCTGGTTAGCAGTCAGCCATAATCAGGGGTGTGGCAGTCACATTTTAAGGGTTCCTGGGGATACCCTCCCACACTTCAGGGGCCACCCCGGGGGGGGTCCTCATTTCTGTCACCTCTGTGCGTCTTGGTGACCTCTGTTTACACTCAGTTCCTCCCGGAGGCCATGGGAATGTCCCCCGCTCTGGCCAGGTGCCTGGGTGGGGGGTGGTAAGTAGGCGAGCGATGGCGTGGGTCTGCTTTCTGATGTTTGCCCTGGCAGCCTGCACTGGGCACCTGCCTTCATTGTGTTTTTACTCCAGTCCCCCAGCCACTTCCAGAGTGCTGCTGTGTGTCCCCTGAGCCGGCCCCTGAGACCGAGGGGTTTGGACCTGGGTCTGATGGGGATGGGAGAGCAGAACGCAGGGAGTTGGTGAGGCTAGAGGCTTGTGAGAAGTGGGGTCTGGGTCCAGCAGTTGGCAGGAGGGGAGCAGCTGCGTGTGGGTTCCTCCGGACCAGCATGGAGGGGGCTGGTGCGCAGGGGGAGGGACCCCCAGGTCTGGTCGCTGTGCTGTCTTGCTCACCCCGCCCCTGCCCTCCAGGCTTTGTTTGGGGACTTAGGGGACATTCTGCTGTGTTTTGTCTGCCCAACAGTGTGCCCTCAGTTCCTTTGAAGTAGAAAAGGATGTCTGGGCCAGAAACACCCCCTGGGCTCTGAGTGATGCGGAGGGCCCAAAAGGCCACAGCTCCTTCTCAGAGGGCCAGTGTTGGATTAAGCGTGACCCCTGGGTCCCCTCCCTCTGCGGAGCCCAGCCCCCAGCCCCCAGGTTCTGGGGGCATTTGCTTTGTCCTGAGGGAAATTACCTAAGGCCAAATATATGTCCATCCCTTCCTATCTTCCTTCCTTCCCTCCCTCCCTCCCTCCCTCCTGCACCTCCCCCTCCCTCCTTCTTAAGCAGGCACTGGTTCCTGTCGACATAGAGGGGAGAGACGCAGGGCCCACATTTGGGAGCTCCTGTCTGATGGCAGAGGCTGAGGGCAGCCTGAGCAGTGCACAGGGACAGGTTCACCCATGAGAGGCGGGAGGGCCCCAGGGGCTGGAGTGAGTGTTCCCCAGGCCAGGAGCGGAGACCCCGAGTGCAGGCTGCTGGAGCAGAGGAAGGAGGGAGTACCACATACTCATTTATTCCTTTATCCTGTTCAAGAAACGTTGATAAAGCATGCACTGGGGGGGGGGGGGCAAAAGGAAGGCCCCCGGCCACATGGCACCAGCACGTGATGGACTGAGGACCCGTGGAGCAGGGAGAGGGGAGGGAGGGTGCAGCCCCCTGCCGAGGGTGGGGGACAGGCGGGAGCAGCCTGCCCTGTCCTGACAGCACGGCCCTCCGCCCCCCAGCACAGCCGCTCACCTCTAACCTTCCCCCTTGCCCCACAGCAGGCAGGCTCTGGAGAGTTCCGGACTCTGCGGAAGGGCTTCTCCCCGTACCACTCGGAGTCCCAGCTGGCGAGCCTCCCGCCCTCCTACCAGGACTCCCTGCAGAACGTAAGTGCCCCTCCCCTAGAGCCGCACTGCTCACCCGTGGACCTTGAGCCTCCAGAATCCTTGGTCCACATTCCAGTGCAGGGGTGAGGCTCCGCCCGTCTCGTGACCTGCCCGGGCCAGGGGACGGTCTGTGGCTGAGCGGGGACTGGGACCCTTGTCTCCTGCCTGAGCAGCTTCTGGGTCAGGCGAGGGTGACGGGTCAGAGCCTGGGCTCTGCCGGAGTGGCCTTCCTCCCTCTCCGCACCGCCCCCCCCCCCCCCCCCCCCCCGCGGCCAGGGAAGGGGGCTGGGCTCCTGGCCTTAGGAGCCTTGTGCGGGCCCAGCGTGCTGGTTAGAGGTGGAGGCCCACCAGAGTGACGTGGCCGTGAAGGCCAGTGTCTGGAGGCCATGCGAGAGGCTGCCCCGGCCCGGCTGCCGCGCATCTGTGAATTTGGCCACGGTGGGCGGGGGAGGATCATCCGACGGGGGCTTGGGGCAGTGCATTCACACTACCCAGGCTTTGTAACCGAGGCTCGGGGGGCAACTTAAGTGTGGGGTCCTCCAGGGTGGTCCTGGGCTCTGGGGCTGCCCCGCATGGGAAACGGAGGCGTGGCGGTGTGGGGGGCCAGCTCTCTGGGATGTGGATGGCTCGCCAGGATGGCTCCCTGTGTGACGTGTCCAGAATACACAGGTCCGTGGAGACAGCACGTTAGTGGCTGTCGAGGGCTGGGAAGAGGGGGAGTGGGGATTGCTAATGGGTATGGGGTTTCTTTTTGGGGTGATGAAATGTTCCATTGTGATGATTGTGCAAAATCGCTGCCCGCCAAACACTTTTCCCGCATGAGCTGCAGACGATGGTGACCAGAGCCGTCGGCTTTGCTTGAACGCTCTGGGCAGCCAGCTGGGACAAGCCCCACGAGCAAGGCAGGGACCCTGGCCATCCCCAGGGCATGAGGGAGGAGCTGCTGGGCCGGCCTGAGGTCACTCTGCCAGGTGGGCATGTGGCCTGGCTCCCCCGCCCCGGGGGTCCCAGCACCACTGTCTCTGCACGGCCCCGGTCAGCAAGGATGACCCCGGGGTGGCCCTGCAAAGGCTCGCAGGGCCTTGGTGCTGGCAGCAGAGGCTGGGGCCACGGCTGGCTGCCGGCCAAGTGCTCTGTTGCTTCCCTTTTGCGGCCCTCACACCTCCAGGGGTGCAGCTGCTGAGGCTGACCAGGCGGATCATCCAAATACTCCTCCGGGAGCTTGTGGCCGAGTTAGGCTCCCAGTGCTGCATGCTGAGGGGCCCTGAGAAGCCTGGGGTGCCCCGGTGGGGCTTGGCTCCTCTGTCCTCCACTTGGCTGGCCGCATGGTTCATTCTGTGGGGACCCCGATGGCCAGTAGCTGTGGGGTGCTGCGTGCCGACGCTCAGCGATCCGCGGGCTGTGAAGTGTGGCGCATCTGTCCGCCGGTGCCGAGCCCCCCTGGGCCTAGAAGCCACGGTCAGGGTGAAGTGACTCTGAAGCTGGGGGGCAGGTCCCTGGGGTGCACAGAGAAGGTTGGGGGTCCTCTGGGAGATAACAGCCACGGAGGCTGCTGAGGCAGCAGTGGAGGGCCCGGGGCCGAGGTGGAGGCCCAGAGATTCTGTAGGAACACTCTCGGGGTGTTGATAGGGCAGCAAGGCCTTGCTGGGCCCTGGAGGGACCCTCTGTGCTGGACACCGCTGGGGGCACAGACTCTCCCACACCTGGTTTGTCTTCTCTAAGGTTACCTGCAGGTCCCGGGCCGGGGTGGGAGGGCGGTGAGGGCAGGTAGTCCACATATCAGAGGGTCCCGAGGTAAAACAGATGACCCTGTGGGGCAGGGACCCCCTTTCCTTGCCAGGCTGGCTGTCCCCACCCTCCCTACCTCTGTTCCTGTCCACTTTCCCCACTCCCTGCCCACCCGAGTCAGAGGCCGAGTGTCCGCCCAGGGCCCGCCAGCTTCTTCCCTATGAGGGTCACTGGCCCCGGGGCTGTGGGGCAGGGTGCAGGGCCCCCCGGCCGGCCCTGGGGACTCAGGACCCCGTGGAAGGAGCTGGTTGTGGAGGACCTGTTGACAGGTCCCTGGGGGAGACTGGTCTTCCTGCCTTTTTTTTTTTTGGCCAGTTGACTTTATTTTTGAGCATGCCCTTCACTGGTTTTTAGCGTATTTACAGATTGGTGCAGTTATCATGATAGAACACATCTCCTTAGCCCACAAGGGAACTCTGCCCCCTTTAGCAGCCCCTGCCCACTCTCCCCTGCCTCGGCCCGGGGACCACCGATGTGCTCGTGCCTCTGCAGATTAGCCTATTCTGGACTTTTCTTAGCAACAGACTCCTGTAACAGGCGACCCTCTGTGACTGGCCGCTTCCGCGGAGCGCTGTCTGTCTGAGGCTGGTCGGCGCTGCCCTGGGCCCGAGCCTCGTGCCTTTGCGCTGTCGGGCGATATTCCGGGGGCGGAAGCTCCGCTCACCAGCGGCTGGACGTCCGGGCTGTGTCTGCGCTTCGCCCGTCGTGGGGAGCGCTGCTGTGAACACTGGACAAGTGGACGTGGGGACGTGTGGCTTCAGTTCTCTTGGGGACACACTGGTCTCCCCACTTTGGGCACCAGCTCTGGAACCCCAGACCCGGCTGGAGCCCCATTGTTCACCAGCGGTTTGGCCGTGGCCTTGTGTCAGCCCCACTGTCCCTGTCCTCGCCTGTCAGATGGGGGTGCAGAAAGATGGCAGCAGGGTTGCAAGCACTCAGCGGGCTGCTCGCCCTGGGGGGGGTGCCGAGGAAGCAGGAGGTGTCGCCCGAGGGGCCCTCGGCGGGTGGGGGAGCTGTGCGTGGGGAGTGCTTGGTGAGGGGGTCTGGAAAAGGCTGTCCCGGCCACTCCTGGCTTGCTTCCTGCCTTTGCTCCAGGGTGCAGCTCCCTGGCCCCTTACGGATGGGACAGGAGGCCGGAGGTGCCAGGGGCCAGGCACCTGGGGCCTCCCACACCACACACGTGTGGCTGTCGCCCCCTGCTGGCTGATGGTGGAGTGAGCGCATGGAGTGAGCTCAGCCTTCTGCCTCAGGCGGTGGGGGGGGCGGGGGTGGGGGGTGGTGGTGTGTGTGTGTGTTTCTCTGCCTTCTACCTGCGCCCCCCCCCCCGGGTGTGTGTGTGTGTGTGTGTGTGTGTGTGTGTGTGTGTGTGTCTCTCTCTCTCTGCCTTCCACCTGCCTCCCCTGAACACCCCTGGGACACAGGAACCCTTTCCATTGTCCAGACGAGGGAACCAAGGCACAGAGTGGGTTGGGCCCGTCTTCAGGTCACAGCCCGCAGAGCCTTGCCCAAGCCCAGCTTTCCTGGCCCCCAAGGCTCTGGGGCCCATCCTCTACGTGAAGCCCGGAGAAGGTCCAGAGGGGTGGGCAGATGGAGAGGGTGCAGAGGAGCTGGCCCACGGCAGAAAGTTCTGGGCCCTGAGGGTCTCCACACAGCGTGGCCTGGCTGGGCAGGCCCCCAGGGTGATGGCCCCATAAACCAGCTCACCAAGTCTTCCTGGTCACTGGGGTTCAGTGACTGAGAAAGAAACCAAGACGCAGAGAAGGGACGGATGTGCTCCCGGGCCGCCTCCCCACCTGCTTGCACACGTGCTGGCCGGGGTGCTTGGCGTTTTGTGTGTGGCCTCCCGCACTTGGCTCCCCTTAGACCCACTCCCAGTGTCCTCGGACCTCCTGGGCGGCCCTGGGGAGCGCCATCCTCCAGTCCTTGTTTGGGCACTCCTTTTATGGGACCCTAAGCTGGGCCCCCTGCAGCCCGAGGCACCTCACCTGGGCCAGGGCTCCCGTGGAAAAGCGGCTGGGGACCCTGGGCAGACGCGCAGCCTCTGACACGGGCGGGCCCGACACCAGAAGGCCCGATCCCCTCCCCACCCGGCCTTGCCCCTGCTCCTCGGGCTGTGGGGAGTCGGATGCCCAGTTGCCATTTAAAGTGTTCGCTGAGGGGCGCCCGGGTGGCTCGGTCGTTGGGCGGCTGCCTTCGGCTCAGGTCATGGTCGCGGGGTCCTGGGATCGAGCCCTGCATCGGGCTCCCTGCTCGGCCGGAGCTTCTCCTCCTTTTGTCACTCTCCTGCCCCCACTCCCCACTTGTGCTCTCTGCTCTCTCTCTCAAATAAATAAAATCTTTATTTTATTTTAGTTATATTTAGTTTTTGAAAGTGCTGAATTTGGTGGCATCCGTCAGGTGCCAGACCGGCTGGGAGCTCCAGGCTGGGAGGCAGGGCTCAGGGCTAGAGGAGTGTCCCTGCGGGTGGGGGCGGGGGTGGGGGGGAATCTAGTTTAACCCACTCACCTGGCGTCGGGGGAAGGGTGGCAGCTTTGGAGGCAGGTGGGGCTTGCTGGGGGCTCTTTCCAGCCCCCAGCCTTCTCTGAGCTGCACTCACTTCCTCTGGGCAACAGATAACAGACCCTGCCCCTGGGCTGTGGAGAGGAGCCTGCGGGGTGGGGTGGGTTTCCGAGGGCGGCCACCCTGTCCTCTGCCCAGGCCCTGGCCTCACACCCTGCCTCCTCTCCCGCATCGCTCAGCGCCCCCTGTCCGCCTGCGTGGGCCCAGGGACCTCTTCCTGCTGCTGGTCGCACCTCTGGCCACCACCTGGGAGACATTCGGGGCCAGCTAAAACACGCGATTCCTTCCCACAGGGCCCAGCTTGCCCGGTACCTGAGCTGTCCTCACCCCCCTCCGCCAGCTACAGCTCTGCGGGACAGAAGCCAGAGGCTGTTGTGCACGCCATGAAGGTGAGGGCCAGACCTCACTCCCTCGGGGGGGCCCCCAGGTCCCTGGTGCAGTGCGGGACCCGGAACCTTCCACCCCACATTTGCTCGGGTTCGTGGGTGTCTGAGCAGCAGGGCGGGAGGGGTGCGGCCCAGACGCCTGGAACACCTCGGGGGAGGGAGTTGGAGGTGTCGGTTGGCAGTAGCAGGTGGGCCACAGGTTGTCACCTGTCTGCCATCCCAGTAGCAGGAAACTGATACCTGGGCCGGGTAGGGGGCGGGCGGGCACTCCCTCTAAGTCAGAGAGGTGGGGGCCGGGCTGGGGTAGGACTCAGGCTCGGGCCTCCCAGGCCCAGCCCCGCCTGCAGGTGCAGCTCCGGGGGAGGGGGAGGGGGAGGGGGCTGGCTCACCCGGCCCCCACGCCTGCCATGGCTGCGCCCCTCACCCCCCATGTGTGCATGGACGCGAGCACGCTGTGCCGCAGGTGTGGAGGCCTGTGCACGTCTGCACAGATACAGCATTCTTGTACCGGTGCGGGCAGTGACCCCATGTGTGCAAGTGGGCGCTGTCCTTGTGTCACTTCATCCAAGCCGGGGGCCCTGGGTTGCAGTGAGTGCACCTGTCCGAGGGTAGTCCCGCCCCCCCCCCCCCCCCATCTGTCATCCCTGCTCCCGGGTGACCCGTCCTCAGCTTTGCCCCCAGCGGTGATGCGGGGGTGTGGCTTCCCTTGCGGAGGGTCGCTAGGGTGAGGGAAGAGAACCGGCCCCTTGGGTCTCTCCATGGCCCCCCCCCCCAGCTGGGACCCAGTGGCTCCGGGTTCTTGGCTCCCGTGTGCAGCCTCCCCGCTGACCCTGCGGCCGGTTCCCCGCAGGTCTTGGAGGTGCACGAGAACTTGGACCGGCAGCTCCAGCACAGCTGTGAGGAGGACCTGAGTGAGAAGGAGAAGGCCATCGTCCGCGAGATGTGCAACGTGAGGCCCTTCCCGGGGCCGGGGACCGCCCGTGCGAGCGGGGCGGGCCCCCGTGTGGCCACGGCCTTCCCCCCGTGGGCAGGGCCGCGGACACTCGTCCTGAGAGTGGGGGCCCTGACCTCTGCAGGCCTGTCCATGCCCGGAGCGCGCCCCCCAGCCCCCTGGGACGGGTCCCGTTCACCCCACATACCCCATCCCTTGGCCCCGGGTGGCTGTTGGCCACACCCAGGTGGTGGTCAGACCAGAGGTGCAGGTGGGCCCCTACAAGGCTGGGGCTGCATTTGCTTCTGGAAGCCGGGCTATTTCTGTGGCCGCCCAGGACTGGGCGGGGGGGGAGGGTCTTACCCCCGACCCGCCTGGCCAGTGTGTGTCCTCTCTGGACCCTTGTAGGAGCCCGCAGGGGGCCGCACGGGGCCTCACCTGGGGCCCGGTGTCCTGAGCGCCCCTGCCTCCTAGGCTGCCTCCTGCCCCTCTGGACCCCGTGTGGCCTCAGTTTCCCCTCCCGGCCCCATGGCTCTGGGGACGTGGGTGATTTTGAGGGGCCCGAGGCAGTGTGGGTGCCCGGGGCCGGCGGGTGGGCTCGGGTGGGCTCTGCACTCACAGCTCGCCCCCACCCACAGGTGGTCTGGCGAAAACTGGGAGACGCGGCCAGCTCCAAGCCCTCCATCCGGCAGCACCTGTCTGGGAACCAGTTCAAGGGGCCTTTGTAGGGCCGCGCCTCCGTGGACGTGGACTGGCCCCGCGGGGCGCCCAGGACGAGTCGCAGCCACCGTGTTCGTTTCCTGTGGTGAATTGTACATAGGCCGCCGCCCGCCGTGGCCCGGGCCCCCTCCGTCTCCCTCCTCACACACCAGCACACGGAAGACGAGAGGCTGCCGGCTGTGCCCCGCGGCAGAGCGGCCCGGACAGCCTCGTTCCTGCTCTGGGGCCCCACTGCCGAGAGGCCGAAGGCCGCTCTGGGACGCCGGGCCCCGGGGTCACCCCAGGCTGGGCCCGGCCTTGGCGGAGGGGCACCTCATCGAGCCTTCCACCCCCAGGCTGCCACCCGCGCTGGGCAGAGGCCACTGGCAGCTAGACCTGATGCAGGGGGCACCGCTTCTCAGCCCTCCGCTGCGGCCCGAACACCAGCTCACCGAGCACTGCGTCCCGAGTCGCGGACAGGGAAGCTTGGTGCGTGGGGCTGGCTGGAGGCCCCGAGGCCCTTTCCTCTGGCGCCCCCCCCCCCCGACCGCCCCATGCCCAGCTCCCTGCTGCAAGCTGCTGCTTGGTTTCAGGGTTCTTGCCCCCAGCCCCAAACACACACACTCGCTGCAGAGTCCCCCCACCCCGGGCCAGGTCGTGCCCTAGCTTTTCGGGTCCCTCCTGCCCAGTGCCCGAGGCCTCTCCATTTCTGTGGTTCACATGATGGGCCAGGGAGGTAGGAGGCTGAGCCCCACGCTCGCTCTCTCGGTGGGCAGCACCGGGCTGAGCTGGGCCTCTGGTATCCCCCAGAGCCTGGCCCGAGCCAGGGTCACTGTGGACAGAGCTACATGGACTGGCCCTTGGGAGACTTCTGCCCTCTCTGGAAGGAGCCTGACCTGGCTCTGGCTTTAATTGGCTGTGTGACCTTCAGCAAGTCACTCAGCTTCTCCGGGCCCCTAGTGGGAAAAGGAGGCCTCAGGTTCTCTGGGCCGTGCTCACCACCTGAGGCCACCGGCTTTGTGCAGCCTGGGCCTCTGTCGCGGCCCGCGCGCCCAGGTGGTCCATCCAGCCAGAGGCCGCTGCTGGCGGGGCTGGATGGAGCCGGGGACCGAGCGGGGTTCCACTGCCTTGCTGCCTCCTCGTAGGTGCTGCCACCTCCCCTCCCTGAGCTTCAGTGTCCTCTGCTGGAGAAGGGACAGCCTCAGGCCCTCCTCGCAGGGCTCGGGATCGAACGAGACCTTCAGTGTAAATGACCTTGTACAAACTATAGAGCGTGATAGAGAGACGTTGAAATTGGTGAGGAAGGTGAGGCCCAGAAGGTGGGTGATTGGGGGCACATTACAGACGAGCTCCCGGATGCTGGGAGGTGGGCGGGCCACTGTGAGTGCTGTTGGCATCGGCCCTGACGGCCACTCGGTCCCTCCCTCCTCCTTCACCGTCCGGTGGTTGCTCAGCTCCGTGCCGCAAGCATTGAGGAGCCCAGAAGACCGCTTTTGTAGCAGGCAGGCCTCGTCCAGGCCCACATGAGGGCCGGGGGCCGGGCGAGGGGCCGGGGGAGGCCACCCTGTTCCTAGAGCCCCAGCGGGAACTCTGCGTCACTCCCGCCGCCTGTCAGCCGTCGGCGCCCTTGGGTTGGTCGTGCACTCTCGGGGGAAAGGCTCGCAGCCCTCATTGTGCCCAGGGAGTGCCAAGTGGGGGGCTGGTGACGGCGACAGGCGTGTTCCTCTTGCGCTGGGTGTTACAGGGAGCTCTGGGCTCTTCCTGGAGGGAGCCTGCCAGCAGGTCAGGTGGTGAGCTACCTGTCACTAGGGGTATGCGTTTGAAGCTGGGGAACACCCTTGGTCATGGTACCAGGCAATTCTTGTCCTAGTGGGTAGTGAGCTGGGGGGTAGAGGCCCCCTCTGGATCTTGGAGTCCAAAGAACCATAGAGCAGCCCGGGGTGGGGGGGATGGGTCCATTTTGGGTGGAAGCCACATCTGGGAGCCCAGTTGTCATGTCTGGATCAGGTTGGCTTGGCCACCACTGAAAATAAGCAATAAGTAAGGGCTCCTGGTATCTGCAGATCCGCAAACTGACCCAGGGAAGCACAGCTTTGATGGGACCGTCCCCGCCTCCGGAAGGAAGTGACCCTGTCCCTCATGCTGTGGTGGCGTCCGGGGGTCAGGTGCAGCCTTTCTGCCTGGACCCTCCTGCGCACCATAGAGGCAGCAGAACCAGGCGCAGACCCACCGCTGCTCGTGTTCCTGAGCCAAGTGCATGGGGATGGCTTTCGAGGACAGAACTGTACCTGTGACAGTCATCTAACGTAATAAGCTGTTAAAAAAAAAAAAAAAAAAAGCCAGCAGCACCCCTGCCTGACCCCACGGGGCAGGGGGTGGGTGGGTGCAGTGGGACCCCACAGACGGGGGAGGGTCAGAGGAGCCTCACGACAGGGGCGGCCAGGGGCCAGGTGAGCATGAGTCCCAGCCCTGCCAGCAACACGGGCGTGCGTCCGGTGACGTCGGGTGACCCTCCCCCCCTCCGGAGCCTTAGCTGTAGAAGCTCACGGTGGGGGGAGGGGTGTTGCCGAACTTGGTGCCCTTTCGTAAAGGTCCCTTTACGTTTCAGATACTCTGATTCTAGATCTTGAAGCCCCACGTGACACCTGTACTGGGGCTTCAGTTCCCACTGTGATGGATGTCACCCTTCCAGCCTCACCCCAGGTGGCCAAGGCCATCCTGGGATCAGAATCTGCTGAGCACATTTTTTTAGGGTGGCACATTTTTATCCAAAAGTTATTAGCTACACATCAGTGTTTAAAGAGAAAAAAGTGACCTTTCATTTTTTTTTTTCTTGGAAACTTGAGAGGAAACGAAATACATACTACTGATTTTTTTTTTTTTTTAAAGGAAAAAGCTAAATGCATGACTGCAGAGCGGTAGAGGTGTATATTTTTCATACTGTAGCGGGGGGGGGAGTATTTGTGCTGCTTTCTGGAATTGGGCTGGAATGTTTGGTTGCTGGCCCCGGGCCGTCAGCCATGCTGTTCTCCATGGTGGGTGACTGCCGTGAGAACCGGGGCCAGCCCCTCGCCCGGCTCCAGGAGGAGCTGGGAGCTGTGGACCCCTGTGCCCGTTTCTACCTTCCACTGAACCACTTTGATTTGGGGAGAGAAAAAGAAATAGAACTTTTGATAGTGTGGTAAAAACATTGATTTGAACTATTTTAGTAAAAGGAGTAACAGAAGATTGTGATAGTGTATACTTTGCGCTAGATAAATAAAGGCTCTTTGCAAGCCTCTGTGGTGGGTGCGCAGTGCTTGTTTTTTTGCGGGGGGTCCACCGGGCGGAGGGCCACGGCCCCTGGGAGCACCTCAGATGTGGGGGCTTGGCCTGGTGCTGGAGACCACAGACGGCTGCTCCCTTGGGGGTCCTAGGAGCCCGTGTCCCGTGCAGGTCCCGTTTGGAACTCACCGGGTTCCTCCGAAGGGACCCCACGCAGGCACGGTGTGGGGGGCTGGCCCGCAAGGACAGACCCAAAAGGGCACTGCCTTGGGGGGATGTGGGGGTCAGGCCTGGGGGTTGCGAGGCCAGTGTCCCCCCCCGGACTTCACATCCTAGGGCTGCTTACGGCCTGGGGCCCCACCTTGTGCAGAAGAAACAAAAGGGTCGTTTCAGAACAGGTTTTATTTGGATAAATGACCAAAGGAGCCGCATCTGTAACCAAGATGGAATTCACAGTATGTTGTTACATTCACACTTAAAAAATATATCTCTATGTACAGGAATTTGCAAATTGATGTAAACATACATTACTTTCCAAGTACACTTCTCCCCTTCTCTCTGGAGGAAAAAGAACAAAGCCATCCAACAAGGCAACCCCTTCAAAGTAAGTTTAATACAAAGGATGTAAATATCTCTAAATCAAAAAAGTGGTTCGTCTGACCTACTGGGTGTCGGGAGGGAACGTCACGGAATGAAAGCGATGACAACAGCTTGACTTCAGATGGAACTGGACTATTTAAAATGGATTTTCCAGGAAAAATAGGCACTGATTTCTAGAAGGAAATTCACTCCTTACTGAAGCTATTTCTTGAGCCAATATGGCTGGTTAACGTTTTCACGAGTACAAGTAACCCAGGGCAGGACCCTCCGACGCCACCAGCTGAGACCAAGTGCGCGGTCGGATCGAAACCGGCGCTGCTCAGGCTATACTGAAAGCCACTGGCCCCATTCTCCAGATGTGGAGGACCACCCCAATTTCATCTCGGGTCCGGGCCGTTTCTTCCCATACTGCAACTGTCTAGCATTATATAAGGTACCCTGCTGCTTACCCACTTAAACTACTCTTCAAGTTGATTAGAAAAACTTGTTAAAAAAAAAGGGGGGGGGAAAGGCATCACGTTATCTCATCCAGGCTGCCCGCCCCAGCCCCCCAACCGGAGGCATGCCAGGTGGGGGGATGGGTGGGGGCACGGGTGGCTGTCCTCCTGGGGGGACGGCCGGAGGTGGGTAGCTAGCCGGTGGCAGGCCCAGGCCTGGAGGAGGGTGAGGGGGGACTGCGTGGGTGGGGGGCAGGCGTGGGGGTGGGGGTGGGAAGTTGGGGTTGTAGGTGGGGGGAGGAGGGGGATAGCCTGGAGTCGGGGGAGGAATGGCAGGAGGGGGGAAGGAGGCTGGGGGAGGGGGCACGGGCGGAGGGGGCGGGTTGGGTGGGTAGACGTGTGGGTGGTAGGGCAGGTGAGCCGGCGGGCCGTAGGCTGGGGGCAGGGCACCATAGGAGGGGCCCTCGGTCTTCATCATGGACTGCAGGCTCTGGTAACCCTCTCCAGACATGTAGGAGCTGGTGGTAGACATCCCGGTCATGTAGCTGGAGGGCGGCGGCGGCGGCGGCCGGTGTGGCAGCGGCGGCGGCTGGTGCACGGGCGCCGGGTGGGCCGGAGGAGGAATCTGGACTTTGGGAAGGTCACTGGTGTCCACGGGGCCCGGGGGCTCCGCCTCGCCTAAGGGAGCTGAGAGGGGAGGCTTCCGGTCTGCAGAGGAGAGACAAGTGACTGCCGGGCCCTGGGGTGGCTCCCAGGGCTTGCTTGTGCAGGGACACGTCCACTGACGACCTCAGGGTGGGGAAGGCCACCCCGGGAGCCAGGAGCTCCACAGAATTCTCATGCCCCCCCTTCCCCCCCACCGGCTATAGCACCAGCAGGGCTGCTGCTCTTCCCCCAGGGCCAAGGTCACAGAGAACAGCGACAGCTCTTGCTGCCGGTGCCTGCTGCCCCCACGAGGACCCGCTCCCCCCAGCATGGCCGGGTCTCCCTCCCTCGGTCCTCACCACACCGGCCAAGGCCAAGCCTGCAGTGCCTGGAGCCCCTCCTGCTAGTACAGACAGACGGGAGTGGGCCCTTCTTCCTGCCCGTCTCTGCCCAGAGACCGTGAGGCCAGGGCCATGTCA